CCACTTGAGCCACAGCGCCACTTCTGGTTTTCTGGTGGTTTATTGGAGATAGGAGTCTCACGGTCTCTCCTGCCCTGGCTGGCTTTGAACCGTGATCCTCAGATCTCAGCCTCCTGAGTAGCTAGGATTACAGGCGTGAGCCACCAGCGCCCGGCTGAGTCCTAACAGTTCTTAAATATGGACAGAGAACTCCAGAAGGAAAAGGTGCAGGACATTACGATGCCATTACGTGAGAGAGAAGGGATGGACGTGACATTTGGGGTAGGACTCATGTCAAAACAAGAGCACGCCATCCTGGCCACACTCGATGCTCTGCTCTCAGACCCTAAGGACATGGCTGACCTGGCATTGGTTTTTATGCCTTCTGCCCTCTTAGGTGCTGTGTGCCAGGGGTAGGCCCAGGAGCCTGAGGGTATGCAGGGCTTTCTGAAGACAACGGTGGGCCCATTCCATGGGTCACTCTATCTCCCACTGTCCCCTGTCCTTACCACTTCTGAGCTTTCAGCGCCTCTGATTTCATTCTTGTGGTCTTCCTCATCGTTTTTCTCTTCTCTGACACAAACCGTCCCCCCAAGAGTCCCATTCAGCTCCCACTGCCCCCACTCATCACTCACTGGAAAATCCCAGCCTCCCATCTCTCCCACTCCTCCAGCCTAGTCGAAACACAGTTAAAGCTCCATGCACCCATGGATGCCGCCTGCGTATCTCTCCGTCTTGGCCTCATCTCCTTAGCTAGAAAGGAAACCCCTTAGTGGATATGGTTGTGCATGCCTGTAATCCCAGCACTCAGGAAGATGGGCGTTCCGGGCCAGCGTGGGATTCATAGTGAGACGTTATCTAAAAAAGGAGTTAATCTGTTAAGTGTGAAGCAGAAACTGTTTTACAGTATAGTGAATCACTCAACATTGTAGAGCCTGCGGCTAAACCCCTCATGGGAGCCCCCCAGATGCTGGATAAGAGATCTGAGAGAGCTCTCCCTTGTCACAGCAAAGTGAGGAATCAGAACCACAGTCTCCTCTTCCTGTAGTTTCTGCCCTTAGAGAGCAGACCATGTAAAGAAACCTAAGAAGTGAAAGCCTCTTTTAAAAACTGTACTTCACTGAAAACTGAACAGGCTTCAACAGCCAGCTTTACTTTAGCTAGTTAAAGCAGGGTAGTGTTGGTTAGAAATGAGTGCTCTTTAATTTGAGAGACAAGGACAGAAAGACCAAAAAAGTCTACATGAAGGCTGTGGGATGTCCTTTCTGGAAAAGAAAAACTACTGTGTGTGTGTGTGTGTGTGTGTGTGTGTGTGTGTGTGTGTGTGTGTGTGTATGTGCATATTCACTCCATTTCAGAGGCTTGAACTGTGTGTCTGTGTGTGTGTGTGTGTGTGCATATTCATTCCATTTCAGAGGCTTGAACTGAGAGCCTGAACGCTGTCCCTGCACTTTTGTGCTCAAGGCTAGAGCTCTACCACTTGAGCCACAGCTGCACTTCCAGATTTTTTGGTAGTTAATTGGCCATCAGAATCTCATGGACTTTCCTGCCCAGCTTGGCTTTGAATCACCATCCACAGATCCCCGCCTCCTGAGTAGCTAGGATTACAGGCACTAGTGCCTGGCTGATTTAACTTTTTAGGAAGTTTAGAAATCTTCTGATGCATTAGGTAGAACAAAGTAAGAAAAAGCAAGCCACTGACATAAGGCCCAAGGAAAATCTTGACACATTCAATGTCAGTTTCATTTATCTCAACTTCCCCTCTCTTTCATTACCAAAGTAAGGAACTGATTTTATAGCCTTTGAGATCTGTGTGAAATATTGTAACAATAGTACCTTTCATCTCTGTAGTCTTTCATATGCTGTTTTTATACCTACTCTGTCATTTATTTAAAATTATATTCATAAGCCAAGTGCTGATAGCTCATGCCTGTAATCCTAGTTCTCAGGAAGGTGAGATCTGAGGATGGAGATTCAAAGCAATTAGGGGCTAAAATGTTCATGAGATCTTATCTCCAATTAACCAGCAAACATGTGGAAGTTAAACTATGGCTCAGGTGCTCACTAGAGTACCAGCCTTGAGCCAAAAACCAAGTCAGAGTGTGGAGCCCTGAATTCAAGCCCCAGTGCCACCAAAAAAATATAAAAATCAGATAAAAATTATATGCATGATACTGGGAAGACCTCACCATCCACATTTTAAAGTTAAGAGAAGGGGGCTTGGGAAGACTGAAAAGACTATGGTTTTCAGATCCACATCTGCCAGCTCCTAGTCTAAGGAGCATTCAGCTTTTCCCAAGCCAGCTGTCCTGTGTGTGCCGTATGATGCAGACAACCTGAAAGCTATTCACAGTCCCTGCTCCTCCTCCTTGTGCCAGGGACCTCTAGGAAAGCTGACTCTTGGGGATGGGCGTGTCTCCACCAGCTGTGGACCAGCCAGTTCTCCATCCCACCAGGACCCTGGACACCTCACAGAGAACCTGCCAGGAACTGCAGCAGAGGGGGAGCAACACCATGCAGCTAGTAAGATGTTGTTGTTGTTGTTGTTGTTGTTGTTACTGTTAATTTTGGATACAGAAGCAGACCCTAATCTAAGTATTACACATGGATAATGTAATCCTGAGTACCATTTACCCATTACAGATGAGACAGGAGACGTAGACCTTCCCAAGCCAGGCTCTGGAGGCTTGTACCTGTTATCCCACCTGTGCAGGAGGCTGAGACTAGGAGGACTGAAGCCAGCCCTAGCAGAAAAGTCCATAAAACTCCATCTCCAATTGACCCAGCAAAAAGCCTGGTTGGGAGTGTTGCTTAAGTGGTAGACCACCAGCCACAAGTAAGCTGGGCAAAAGCACAAAGTCTTGGGTTCAAGTCCCAATACCAAGATAAAAAGGAAAAAATAGTATTTCTCACTTCCAAATCTCAACTGTCAGCTAATATACAATCAATTGCATTAAGAAATAGTAACAAGCTGGGCACCGGTGGCTCATGTCTATAATCCTAACTTCTCAGGAAGCTGAGATCTGAGGATCACAGTTCAAAGCAAGCCTGGGCAGGAAAGTCCGTGAGACTTTTATCTCCAATAAAAACCACTAGAAAACCAGAAGTGGTGCTGTGGCTCAAGCGGTAGAGTGCTCACCTTAAGCTGAAGAACACAGGGACAGCACCCAGGCCCCAGAGGTCAAGCCCCACGACCCGACCAACAAAAAAAAGAAATAGCAACAAAAACCTCCAGGAGGATAAATGCCCAGGAGTAGAATTGCTAAATTATTACCTGTTCAGTTTCTTTAAGGAACCTCCACACTACTTTCCAGAGTTATTAAACAAGTTTACATTCCCACCTACAGTGTACCGGGGTACCCTTTTACTGCATCCCTGCCAGCATCTAGTATCATTTGTTTGCTTGATAATGGCCTTTCTGGAATGAGGTGGAATCTCAGTATTGTTTTGTTTTGTATTTCCTTTATGGTCATGAATTTTGAGCATTTCTTATGTGTCTGTTGTTTATTTTTATTTCTTCTGAGAAGTCTTTAGGTTATTAGTTCATTTATTAGTTGGATTATTGGTTCTTTGAGGGTTTAGTTTTTTAAGCTGTCTGTATATTCTGTCTGATGTATAGCTGGCAAAAATCTTCTCTCATCCTGTAGTCTGTCTTCTTGGTTTGTTGGCTATGTCCTTTGCTTTACAGAAAGTTTTGGGTTTGATGCAATCCCATCTATCATCTTTGACTTGCTGTGCTTCTGGATGTTATGCAGTTCCTGCCTGTGTCAAGAAATCCTAATGTTCATCCAATTCATTCCTGTAATAGTGTCATGGCTTCAGGACTTACCTGTAGGTCTTTGATCCATTTTGAATTGATGCTGGTACAGATGATATATTAGGATCTAGTTTCATTTTTCTGCATGTGGATATCCAGTTTCCCAGTACCATTTGTTGGAGAGGCTGTGTAGTATAGCCACAGCACAGCCATGCTTATTGCAGCACTGTTTACCACAGCAACAGTGTGGAGTCAGCCCAGATGCCCCTCAGTAGGCAAATGGATAATGAAAATGTAACACACACACAATGGATTTTTTTTTTTTGCCAGTCATAGGGCTTGAACTCGGGGCCTGGCTACTATCCCTGAGCTTCTTTTGCTACCACATGAGACACAGACCACTTCCAGCTTTTTCTGTTTATGTGGTACTGAGGAATCAAACCCAGGGCTTCATACATGCTAGGAAAGCACTCCATCATGAAGCCCTACACAATGGAATTTTATTCATCTGTTAGAAAGAATGATAGCGTACCATTTGAAAAAGAAAATGGGGAAGTTGTGCTGTGGCTTAAATGGTAGAGTGCTAACCTTGAGCTGAAAAGCTGAGGGACAGCACCCAGGCCCAGAGTTCAGGCCCCATGACCAAAAAAAAAAAAAAAAAAAAAGGAAGGACTTTAAAAAATTACATTAAATGAAACAAGTCAGGCCCCAAATGATAGATTGCATCTTTTCTCTCATTTGTGGAAGCTAGAATTTATTCATAAACATGAATAAATATGTTGGGTGGTATGCAAGTGTATATAAATGTATTAACTGAAATATGGTAGATTCAAAGGAGAACTCAAATAGTGTCATTTCTTAGAGAGACTAAGTTCAACAACATAAACACCAGGAAATGGTACTTGAAAAGGGTGGGGTGGGCCGGGCGCTGGTGGCTCACTCCTGTAATCCTAGCTACTCAGGAGGCTGAGATCTGAGGATCGCAGTTCAAAGCCAGCCCAGGCAGGAGAGACCGTGAGACTCATATCTCCAATAAACCACCAAGAAAACCGGAAGTGGCGTTGTAGCTCAAGTGGTAGACCGCTGGCCTTGAGCTGAAGAGCTGAAGGACAGCGCCCAGGCCCAGAGTTCAAGCCCCACAATCGACCAAAAAAAAAAAAAAGGTGGGGTGGGGTCAAGGGGAAGAGAAAAAAGAGAATGCAGTCCAGAATTCATTGTATATCCTACAACATGAAAAAAAGTAAGGGAAGGAATAGGTCTGGAGGGATGAGTGAGAATATTGAAAGAGGTGACATTGATCAAGACTTATATTTATAAACTGTTTGTTGAATGGCAGCACCTTTGTAAAGATAATAATTTTTTTAACCTCCAGAAGGAAAAGTAAAAGGTTAATATTAGAAAACTTTTAATCTTAATAAGAGATAAAGAGACATGATGACAGCAGGAATTCTGTCCATATTGAGATTTTTTTAAGTCAAAATGAATTAATGAGCCGAGCAAAATGGTATATACCTGTAATCCCAGATACCGAGGCAGAGGCAGGTCACAACTGAGGCTAGCCCAGGCCAAAGATAGCGGGACCCAATCACAACAACAAAATACAGGCTAAAGGCTTGGTAGCATGGCTTTAAGTGGTAGCATGCTTTCTTGGCATCTGAGAGGCCCTGGTTTCAATCTCCAGTTACTACAAAAAGATCTGAATGAAGTCACTTGTCACCTTGTTAACAGAGATTGAAAATCTGTATTATTTGAAATGTGTACTTAGGCAGGGAACTCTTCTCTCAATAGCTAGCCATCACCGTGACTGCTGAGAGGTGGGCGGTCTCCTACAACTGTTGGCAGATTCTCCCATATTGCAGGCCCTCTTTCTGATTGGTCAGCAAACTGTGGAGGTAGAAAGAAATGAGGAAGGCACCCTTATTAGGGGTGTCCTAGGAATTACTTGGAAACCCAGGGGATCATCACCATGTTCTCATGGCTACTTCCAGAAAAAATAGTCCCCTGGTGTGTTTTGTGATCCATAGCTATTTGTTCCTCCATCAGGGATGATGTGATTACCATGGTTTCTGCCCATCTTTCAGAGTCATGTTTACTCACTGGCTGACATTAGCAGGTGATTCTCATTAGCAAAGTGACTTTATTGCAAAGTGGTTGAATTAAAAGGAAGATATTGAAGTCACACAGAAGCAGCTATCGGTGTCATATCTCAAACAATCCCTTTCAGGCCAGTGTCTTTAAGCATTTTAAGAGTCTGTTTGTTTTTTGGTAATACTAGAGATCACACTAAGGGCCTTCTGCCTGATAGGAAGGTGCTCCATTGCTCTTATTTTGAAATCAGGTCTCGCTGTTTTTGCCTAGGCAGGCCCGGATCATGATCCTGCTAATTCCTAACATAGATCTGATCTCTGCCTCCTCAGTAGCTAGGATTACAGGTATAAACCACTGTATTTGGCCTTTTTTTTTTCCAGTCCTGATGCTTGAACTCAGGGCCTGGACACTACCTCTGAGCTTCATTTGCTCAAGGCTAGCACTCTACCACTTGAGCCACAGCACCACTTCCAGCTTTTTCTGTTTATATGGTACTGAGGAATCGAACCCAGGACTTCATGCATGCTAGGCAAGCACTTTATACTAGGCCACATTCCCAGCCCTTGAGCATGTCTTGAGGTGCCAGGGGTACCATCTATAGGCTGCCTGGATTCAGATCTGAGTTTTAAACTTTGACCACGGCAGTAACTGGGCAACTCACTCAAGTCCTAGACTGCCCATCTCATGGGGACCTCATGAGTCAGAAGTCAATGAGGTTGAGCACCAGTGGCTCAAGCCTATAATCCTAGCTACACAGGAGGCTGACTCCTGAAGATCATGTTTTGAACCCAGCCTGAACAGACAAATCCAAGAGACTCTCCAGTTAACCAGCATAATGACGGAAGTGTAGGTGTATGTGGCTCAAGTGGTGGAGTACAGCCTTGAGGTAAAAACCCAACATTGAGCAGAAAAAGTTAAGCAATAGCCCCAGGCTTTGAGTTCAAGGCCCAGTACTAGTACCAAAAAAGGAACAAAGATGAACCTGCTGTTTCACACAAGAGTGTACAGCACCCTAGCCGGGTGCAGATGTCTGACTTCTCCAGTGGTTGTCCAAGGGGTGCAGGCCCAACAATATTTTAAACAGTCCTGTAATGAAAGACACACATGCTTAGAATGTAAGCTCAGAAGCCATTGGCTCACACCTATAATCCTGGCTACTCAGGAGGCTGAGGCTGAGACATGAGAATCGGGGTTCAAAGCCGACCTTTGCAGAAAAGTCTATGAGTCTGTCCCCAGTTTAAGAGCAGAAGAGCTAGATTTGAGGCATGACTCCAGTGGTAGAGCACCAAGTATGAACAAAAAACCTCTATCAAGAGCATGAAGCCTTGAGTTCAAGCCTTGATTTCAGCACTACTACTACTAAGAATAATAACATAATTATATACAATTCGTAATATATTTTATTATATATTATGTATGTATAAGACACTATGCATATAATATATCCTAGATATAGTATATAATATATGAGACAGAAGAGGGGATTGAAAACAGGTTTTGGTTTCAGACCCCCTCACTGCACACATTCGAGCAGGTAAGTCTTGTTAGGAGTCTGACTCGCTGCAAAGCATGTATCATCCAAGAGTTCATTTGAAGGAGGTGAAGTTACATGAGACAGCCTTGGCATCACCTTTCAGCAAGTGCTTGGCTTGGAAGCTCACAGCAGGGTCCCCGCACAGCCCTGACACGCAGTGGGGAGGGCAAGGGGCCCCAGGGCTACAGGCAGCGTCCGGCCATACCAGGGCGGGCAAGGGCAGTACTGTAGTTGGCCTGGGGCCCACTTTCTCTCTTTGTCTCTTTCCCTGGGCAAGCAGAAGCAGGACAGGGGACTCAGGAAAGGCGGAGCAAAGGAGACCATCAACCTGGCTTGAGCAGATGCTTGCCAGGCCCAGCCCTATCTATCGCCTTGCACTCTGGGCACATGAGCCACCAAGTTCCGGTTTGCTTAGAGCATGGGCTGTGGGTAACTCCTGGCTCCACCCCCTCCCAATGGTGACCTGGGGCATCTCTTCCCCATCCCTTGCCCGACCCACACGGAGATCTCACCAGCTCTGTGCCCGATGCGGGGAAGAAAAAGAATTGCAGAAAACTCTCAGTATGGTCCTGACCCTGCATTACTGGAACGCCTCTCAGCATGGGGCTAAGTCCTAACAGTTCTTTTTTTTTGGTAGGCCGTGAGGCTTGAACTCTGGGCCCGGGCACTGTCCCTCAGCTCTTCAGCTCAAGGCCAGCGCTCTACCACTTGAGCCACAGCGCCACTTCTGGTTTTCTGGTGGTTTATTGGAGATAGGAGTCTCACGGTCTCTCCTGCCCTGGCTGGCTTTGAACCGTGATCCTCAGATCTCAGCCTCCTGAGTAGCTAGGATTACAGGCGTGAGCCACCAGCGCCCGGCTGAGTCCTAACAGTTCTTAAATATGGACAGAGAACTCCAGAAGGAAAAGGTGCAGGACATTACGATGCCATTACGTGAGAGAGAAGGGATGGACGTGACATTTGGGGTAGGACTCATGTCAAAACAAGAGCACGCCATCCTGGCCACACTCGATGCTCTGCTCTCAGACCCTAAGGACATGGCTGACCTGGCATTGGTTTTTATGCCTTCTGCCCTCTTAGGTGCTGTGTGCCAGGGGTAGGCCCAGGAGCCTGAGGGTATGCAGGGCTTTCTGAAGACAACGGTGGGCCCATTCCATGGGTCACTCTATCTCCCACTGTCCCCTGTCCTTACCACTTCTGAGCTTTCAGCGCCTCTGATTTCATTCTTGTGGTCTTCCTCATCGTTTTTCTCTTCTCTGACACAAACCGTCCCCCCAAGAGTCCCATTCAGCTCCCACTGCCCCCACTCATCACTCACTGGAAAATCCCAGCCTCCCATCTCTCCCACTCCTCCAGCCTAGTCGAAACACAGTTAAAGCTCCATGCACCCATGGATGCCGCCTGCGTATCTCTCCGTCTTGGCCTCATCTCCTTAGCTAGAAAGGAAACCCCTTAGTGGATATGGTTGTGCATGCCTGTAATCCCAGCACTCAGGAAGATGGGCGTTCCGGGCCAGCGTGGGATTCATAGTGAGACGTTATCTAAAAAAGGAGTTAATCTGTTAAGTGTGAAGCAGAAACTGTTTTACAGTATAGTGAATCACTCAACATTGTAGAGCCTGCGGCTAAACCCCTCATGGGAGCCCCCCAGATGCTGGATAAGAGATCTGAGAGAGCTCTCCCTTGTCACAGCAAAGTGAGGAATCAGAACCACAGTCTCCTCTTCCTGTAGTTTCTGCCCTTAGAGAGCAGACCATGTAAAGAAACCTAAGAAGTGAAAGCCTCTTTTAAAAACTGTACTTCACTGAAAACTGAACAGGCTTCAACAGCCAGCTTTACTTTAGCTAGTTAAAGCAGGGTAGTGTTGGTTAGAAATGAGTGCTCTTTAATTTGAGAGACAAGGACAGAAAGACCAAAAAAGTCTACATGAAGGCTGTGGGATGTCCTTTCTGGAAAAGAAAAACTACTGTGTGTGTGTGTGTGTGTGTGTGTGTGTGTGTGTGTGTGTGTGTGTGTGTATGTGCATATTCACTCCATTTCAGAGGCTTGAACTGTGTGTCTGTGTGTGTGTGTGTGTGTGCATATTCATTCCATTTCAGAGGCTTGAACTGAGAGCCTGAACGCTGTCCCTGCACTTTTGTGCTCAAGGCTAGAGCTCTACCACTTGAGCCACAGCTCCACTTCCTGCTTTTGTGTGTGTGTGTGTGTGTGTGTGTGTGTGTGTGTGTGTTTAATTGGAGATAAGAGTCTCACAGGCTTCCCTGTCCAGATTGGCTTCAAACTGTGATCCTCAGATCTTAGCCTTCTGAATAGCTAGGATTACAGACATGAGACACGGCACCCAACAAGATTATACATTTTTTAAAACTTGAGGGCTTGTGTTTCTCAAATTGTCCCCTTTATCTGCCTTGCCTTTCGTTACTCTCTGTTCAGGACAGGACAGCAAAGCAGACCTCCTCGCTTTCCCTGGAAGAAAGGGGACCACACATCCTGATGGCAGTGAGACCTCCGCAGGGCCTGAGCCCGGCGGCCGGCCCCTGAGTCCCAGCCAGCCCGCACCTCCCAGGATAGTGGAGCCCAAGGTCCAGGACGGATCTGCAGCGAGTCTCACCCTCGAGGGCACCATGGCCCAGGAGAAGAAGGCACCAGATTCCCCTGACTTGGGCAGGACTTGGGCAAGACCTGGAGCCAGCTCATCCCACACCACTGAGGGGGAGGCCACCATGCCCAGGGGAGCAGGCCAGCGCACGGAGGAGGTCACGCCAGCCAGTGTCATCCAGCCCCAGGACCCCCTCCCATTCCAGGGGAGGAGTCAAGGAACTCCAGGGAGCCATAGCAAGACCCAGGAAAAGCCAGGAGTCCGGGCCACTAGAAGCCCCCAGGAGATCACCGTGCTAGAGGACACAGGCGCTGTGTCTGCAAGGACACCACAGGCCAGCACTTCCCCGACAGCCTCCACAGACAGGACCAGAGACGTGTGTGGCGGTGTATCCTGGCACTGCTGCCCGTCTGGGTGCGGAGACAGCTCTGTGACAGACATCGACAGCTTCATCGAGGAGTCAGAGCATGCTTGGGCAGGGGTCTGCCGGGGTCTGGAGGGCAGTTCTCAGGCCCAGCGGGCAGCAGGAAACGGAGGGGGCAGTGCCCATGAGGCCCCGGCAGTGGCCAGGGACCCCACACCCCTTCCCAGGCAGGCCTGTGCTGTGGACACAGCCCCACCGGCACAGTGGACCCCCCAGCCTTCCATCTTGGACTCCATTCATCCTGACAAACATTTTGCTGTGAACAAAACCTCTCTGAGCAACTACTCGAGGAATCTGAGCAGTTTTCAGGAAGACAGTGCCCCCCTGTCGGGCACGGGGAGCAACACAGAGCGGTCACTCTCCATGTACGGCGGTGCGGAGGACTCCTCCTCCGACCCCGAGTCTCTTGCAGAAGAAGCCCCTCAAACGGCCGCCAGAAACAGCTGCCCGCCACCCCGTCCACCCGGCTCTCCTCACAAGGAAGATACTACGGAGTCAGAGGAGGAGCATATCGAAATCTGTTCCACCAGTGGTTGCCCCAACACACCCAGGGGGATAAACCCAACCCAGCCTCTCGGCCAGGCTCTGCCCTGCCCAGCGCTAGCCACGGTTCTGCCATTGAAACACAGCGCTCTGAGTGAATCTGTGGAGAAGCCCTGCGAGACAGCCTGCTTCCTGCTAAGAGGCTCACACCCTTGCATCCCAAACACGCCCCAGACATTCTCAATCGTCCATCAGAGCTCTCTGGAGCCTGAAACTCACACCGACACATGTGGTTCACAGCACCTCAGGCCATTGTACACAGGAGAAGCAGAGGCCACTACTAGTGTTGGCTCTGCTGGGGTGCACAGCCAGACTTTGGGCATTACCAGATCTCATCATCCCCCGCCAGTCAGCCTCAGCAACCCTGACATGGTAAATGGTTTAGGACAGGACCCACTGGAAGATGATACTCCAAAGAAACAAGAAACAAATGCCAATGCAAGTGACCCCATGTGCGCCTTCCGTGGGCAGGCCACTAAGAATGCAGGGTCCACTGTGGCCAACCTCCACCTCTCAGAAAGCCAGGACCTGGGAGACTTGCTACAGAAACCCAAAACCATCTCCAGGAGGCCTATCATGGCCTGGTTTAAAGAAATCAATAAAAATAACCAACTGCAGAGCAAAACCGAGAAGGAACACAGCACAGTGTCAGCCAGAAGTCCTGACTCCAAAATTCAGACACTGAATTCAAGCCACAAAAAGGGGGTGGCCATCCCCAACAGCCCCCCTCTACTGAAAATGAATCTAGAAAATAAAGACACCTCTAAAAAGAGCTCCGTGGAAACACCCGTCAGCAATGGTCAGAAACCCAAGTGTGGCCCTAAGCTGAAGAAACTGAGCAGCAAAAGCAAAAGCAAAGTTGGCTCCGAGGTCCCGCCTACAAATTCTGCAAAGGTCAGTGGGACAGACCACAGGAAATCCCTGACGTCACCCCAGGCCTCCCAAAAAATGCTCTATAAGGTGGTATCCCACCAGTACCACGCAGCTGACCATGAGGAACCTGACAGTAGCTCTGGGGACAGCCCTACGTCCCCCCAGTGCGTACTGGATTGCAGGCCGCTCGCAGCAGTCTGTGGGTCACTGAAGCCCTCCTTGTCAGATACCAGCATCAGGACATCCACGTCACCCCTGACCTCCCCCAAGTCCCTGCCCACACACGGTTCATGCAGTAGGTTCCACGCGGCTGTCCACGCAGAATCTGACCGAGGCTACCCACCGACTCCCAGGTCCCCTAGGTGTGGACCGGAGGGCCGAGCTCGCCGGGCTGACGCAGGGCCCATGAGTCCCACAGCATCAAGGCACAGTGCGACGCATGAGCAGCGCACGCCCAGCCGAGCAGACGCCACGTTAGAAGAGACCCAACTGACAGGGGCCCATGGTAAAGAAAGCCAAAGAGTTGCCGGTGAACCCTTGGAAAGAACGAACCAGCTCAAAATCGTGGACGTTTCTTCTGAAAGGATGCCGAAGAACTTGCGTGGTGACAAGCCAGCAGAAGGTGGCAGACAGGGAGGGGTCTTGGCCCAGAGCAACTGTCAGGAGAAGAGTGAGATCAGATCCCACCCATCAGTGGCATCACTGTCCCCCAATTATCCATCCTCCCTCATGCCCCAGGCTCCCCAAGGCCAGCAGGATATGCGACGGTCCATCAGCATGGCCAAACTGACCTCCTCCCCACAACTGCCTGCTAGAAAGACAGATTCCACACAAAGGGGTTCGAGCCAGACATCAGACTCCCTCAGGACATCCAAGAACGGCACGGTGACAGGCCCTGATGGGGAAGAGCACCCCTGCTTTGCACCACGGCCAGCCACCCGGACTTACTCCATGCCAGCCCAGTTCTCAAGTCACTTTGGACGGGAGAATGCACCCTCCCACAGCCCCAGCCACCCCCCTCAGGAGAGCCAGGTCTCCATGATCAGCGAAACAAAGGCTCCCAAAGGCTGTATTCTTGGCCTGGCTAACGGACAGGGTGTGTACGGTGCGAAGCCTCTACAGGACACAAGGGCCCTCCCAGCGACGGACCCAGGGGACGTCACCGCCGTCACAGACAAAATCAAAGTCACCAGGCGGCATTACTACTACGAGCAGAACTGGCCCCACGAATCTACCTCATTTTTCTCTGTGAAGCAGAGGATCAAGTCTTTTGAGAACTTGGCCAATTCTGATCGGTCCATCGCCAAATCTGGGGCATCCTCGTTCTTATCTGTAAGCTCCAAGCCTCCCATTAGCAGGCGGTCATCTGGAAGTATGGCTTCGGGGAACCCGGGCTACCCCAGTGACACAGCAGCAAGGTCGCTGAGACGCAGCTTGAGTTCGTGCAGTGAAACCCAGAGTGAAGCCGGCACCCTTGTCCCACAAATGACCAAGTCCCCGTCCAGCATGACGCTGATCATCCCCAGGCCGACGGTGCCCGAGACCAGTCACAAGGGCCCTGATTCCAACTCAAAGAGATCACACGTTCCTTCGGGAATCCCCACCCCGACGGTGACGCCGGCCTCTCCGGTCAAGAGGAACAAGTCCTCGGTGCGCCACATGCAGCCCTCGCCTGTGTCCCGCTCAAAGCTGCAGGAGCTACGAGCCTTAAGCATGCCTGACCTGGACAAGCTCTGCAGTGGCGAAGACTACTCCACAGGACCCACTGCCGTGCTCTTCCGAACCCAGCTGGAGATCGTCCCTAGGAGATCTCTGGGCTCCAAGGCTGGCTTCCCTCCAGGAGGCCTGACGGGCCTCAATGCATCAGCTATCACCACCTGCCCAGCAAGAAGCTGCCCAACTTCCAGCGCGGCCACAGCGCCTCCTGTGGCCAGTGAAGGAAGGGAGCCCGGCCAGGACCTGTCGCTGGGAAAAAGCTGGTCAGTTAGGTAAGCATCTGCCTCCCCTTGTATGTCAAATCAGCTTGCTTTGTTTTGTAGCTGCTTTAGGCTCAGAAAAGTGAGAACCGTAGTACCAAGACCTCCCACATCGCTCTCAAGCTGTAACATTATCACCTAACATTATCAGCCTAACGTGATCACCTGCTGTAACAAAGGCCCATTTGCCGAAAGGAAGAAATTAATGTTGCACCATCCTGTCAACTAAACTATAGCCTGTTCAGATCTTGCTGAATGCATTCTAATAATGTTATCAGTAGCAGTAGAAACTCCAGGGTTCAACCCAGATACCACATTGCATTTAGCTCCCTCTTGTTTTCAGTATCATGACTGTAAGGACGAAAATGCCAGGCAGGGAAAAGCTTGCCAATATGTGGCTCTGAGGAGCACCTTCTACAGGACGGGGCATTCAGCATGAACAAGGGAGGTGGAAAGGAAGAGGAGGAGATTGTCTCTCAGAAGAGCATGGGCCTTTGAAAATGACCAGCGTTAAATGAGGGGATTTCTAGAATACTTGAGATGTTTCACTTCTGTAATCCTAACTACTCAAGACACCGAGATCTGAGTATTGCAGTTCAAAGCCAGACCAGACCAGAGTCCATTCGACTCTTATCTCCACCAAAAACAAAAGAAACCAGGACATTGCATGGTGGCTTAAGTCAGAGAGTGCTAGCCTTGTGGGAAGCAGGCCTCAAGACTGGCGTGTACACACACACACACACACACACGCACACACACACACACACACACACACACACACACGTCTTGAGCCTATCTACTACTTCTCAATACACTGGAAGTGCTCTGTTGGAAATGTGTGTTAGACTCCCATGCTGGCCTTGTAAAGATCCTTATGACTACCGCCATGAGAGAAAGGCATTCTGTTGGGTACACAGGGTTCTTCCATGTTGGAAATGAGTTAGGCCCCATAGAAAGCACGATCAGAAATATAAATACATCCTTATAAAATGGAGCAATAACTTTTCTCTTTCATAGTCTTCAAATGTGTTTGTTATTTAGTTTGGATCAACTTCTCACCTCCGAGGGAGACCAGCAGAGATTGCAGGCGGTTTTATCGGCAGTGGGGTCCACATCCACCATCCCAAATCTCATTCAGGAAGCGAAAGCACAATCAGAGGTGAGTGAAACGTGGAAAACCCAGGAAGAGGAGGCAGCGCTGGCAGTACTGGCTCCAGGTGCCGCCCAGCAGCTCGGCCATTGAGAGCGTGTGCTCCCCACACCCTGGAAGGCTGCCGTGGGATGGGGTTTTTATAGCTCTGGCTCAAATGCAGCTTTGGGTACTGCCCGCTGGCTTCAGAAACTAGACGTTGCCATGTCGATTTTAGTTAATGTCACTAACATTTTAATCCCCAATAGCATCTAGTCCCCATCCTTCCTTCCCACCTCCCTGTTTGGAGTTTGTCTACAGAGTGTCCTCTGAGCAGAAGAAACGTTGGTGAAGGAACAAGTACACCCGTCTACTTAAGAAGGTATCAGCTAGTGAGGAGGGCCACCTAGTGGAGAAAGAGTTCCATGAACTGATGCTCTGGGATTGATAAGAGCTCCTTACCCAATTGTTTTTTCATGAGAGCATCTTTAACTTCATGATTCAAGGAACCAAAAAAAAATTTTTTTTCAAAAAAGGAGCCATGATAGGTGGAGTAAAAAACGCAGTAATTTTAGCCAGGCACCAGTGGCTCACGCCTGTAATCCTAGCTACTCAGGAGGCTGAGATGTGAGGATCAAGATTCAAAGCCAGCCTGGGCAGGAAAGTCCATAAGACTCATCTCCAATAATTAACCACCAGAAAACCAGAAGTGGTGCTGTGGCTCAAGCGGTAGGGCACTGGCAAGGACAGCACCCAAGCCCAGAATTCAAGTCTGTCTCACAGACTTTCCCGCCCAGGCTGGCTTTGAACCATCCTCAGATCTCAGCCTTCTGAATAGCTAGGATTATCGGGTGTGAGCCACCAGCACCCGGCCTGCTGTTAATTTTTAAGAATGTTCTATCATAGTGATAATGAAACACTGTAACAGAGAAATGGACATTGTTTATAAAAAGTAGTTTTACAAATGGATAATAATGCGTATAATGGCTTTAAAAAAAAAGAGCTCTTAAAGCCCAGGGTACAAGACAAAGCTTATTAGTAATTACAAATAAGAACTTTATAAAAACCATATGTGATGGTGAATAACAAAAGGAAAGCACAACTCATAGCTGGAGTTTCTCTGAAGATCATTTCTCAGGAACATTCATAGAGATCTAAACCACAGCAGATGGACATAGAAAAAAAAATAAAACCGGTATTCCTTACTAATACATCTTGGGTGACTAACATCATCCATGGGCAGTATTCCAGAAATTACCCTCAAGGTGATAGTCAGGGTTTCTCAGGCGCAGTCTTAGAATCTACTAAGTTGGCCAGAGTTTGAGGATGTAGGGGAGAATAAAGGAGACTGAGATCCTTTAGCTTTCACTCCCTTCTGATCCCAGGCCCACTGGTTCCAGCTCAAGTGCTGGGGACATGGCTGCAGTAGTCTAGTGATACCCTAGCAAGCTGAAGTCCTGGGTTCAAATCTTTGTTCTGGACAACAACAACAAAGCACTCTCTGTAAAAGGTGCTATTCCATCGCCTTCCTCCCTCCTCCTGTTTCTTCCATACAATAAACATTTCCTGAGAGAATTCTGGTGTGTGGGGCTGCCATACTACCAGGCCCCTTTGCTCCAAATGTGTGACAGTATTGCCTAACATGCAGATGGAGAAAACTAGAAAGTCTCAAGCAACCTCCGGAGGTGATAGACGTTCTCAGGAACTAGGTACAAAGTGGCGATGTTTTTATGTAGCCAAGATGCCAAGTGCTGCGCTTAGGGGCCGCTCTGGGCCTCCCTCACCCAGGGGAGGCTTGGAGGTTTGGTATTCCCCGGGGGGGGGGGGGTGCAGTTGGATGTTGTAGCTCCTCCTGGCTCCCACCAGAACGCAGCTTGCTTTTCCGCTTCCTGATTCAACCCCAACCACCCCCCCCTTCCTGCCATCTTTATAGCAGCACCTTGCTTCTGCCCCACTTTTTCTTTCCAATGAGTCTAGCTTGCAGATGCTAAAAACAGAACTGCACAGCCTGACTGCCCCCCAGCCTTCTTTTTGTGGTGGTGAACGATGAGCGCACCCAGGTTTTTCTGGCCACAGCACAGCCCTGGGGAGCGTGCTGACTGTACTTCCGGCTCCCCTGTGCCCTGCCAAGCTGTCAAACAGCTGACCCGGTCAGTTGCTAGCACATGTTTCCCCAAACACCCCAAAAACAAAACTTTCCCATCTTCTAATATTCTGTTTACTCGATAAACATCTAAAGGTCTGAGATGTGTTCGTGGTGTAGCATGAAATCTCACTTCCCAGAGGCTGCAGGAAGGTCCTGTTTCTGGGAAAGCCCAGTCCTGCCCAACTTGTGGCTGAGCCTCGCACAGGGATGGCTGGAGATGCCCCTGGTGGCATCATCCTATCCGGAGGAAAGTCTGTCCACACGGGGGGCTTTGGTTTGGATGAACTCTTTAGAGGAGGTGTAAAATGCTCATTACAAATAAGAACTTTATAAAGACCAGATGTGACGGTGAATAACAAAAGGAAAGCACACCTCATATCTAGAGCTTTGTAAAGTCCTGTAACTTACAGAACTAAACACTTTTTTTTTCTTTTTTTGTCAGTCCTGGGGTTTGAACTCCGGGCCGGGGTGCTGTCCCTCAGTTCTTCACTTGAGCTACAGCACCACTTCTGGTTTTCTAGTGGTTAATGGGAGATAGGAGTCTCACGGACATTTCTGCCCGGATTGGCTTCAAACCACGATCTTCAGATCTCAGCCTCCTAAGTAGCTAAGATTACAGGCCTGAGCCACCGGCACCTGGTTTAGGACTAAACACTTTCATATGCTGAACTCCCTTCCCTGCAGAAACAGGGGTGGGTTTTCCCTCTGTTTTGTCTTAACAAGACAATCTTTATTATTTATTCTGACAATCTTTATTATAATCTTCCATTGCCATGTGAGGGACTGTCAGTCACTTCATGTGGAAGCTCACAGTTCCTTGCTTTAAAATGCTCAGCTGATGTGTCAGCTGCAGTGGCTCATGCCTCTAATTCCAGTTAGTAGGGAGAAGGAAATAAGGAGGATCGTGATTAAAGGCGAACCAGAGCAAAAAGACAGTGAGGCCCTCATTTCGGTCAATAAACCAGGCCTGTGATTACAGGTTACACGGGTGGCCACCCCAGGCAAAACCACACCACCTTGTCTGAGAAATAACTGAAGCAAAAATGAACTGGGGATATGGCTCAAGTGGTAGAGTACTTGCCTAGAAAATGCAAAGCCTGAGTTCAACCCCAGAACCACCATACATATATGTGTATATATAATACATAGTTGAATCATATATATGGACAAAAGAAGTCAAAAGTCAGAATAGCCCAGCTAATTCTTTTATTCTAAGATACTTTGTGATTGATGCTTAAAACACTCTGCTGTTACTTCTCTCTAGGATATTTCTAAGAATGCTCTAGTCTTGGTATGTTGTTTTTCCAGTATAAGCTTACCATTAGTTTTCACATACTTCATATTTGATGAATCACCTGCCCAAGAGAAGTGGGGTGTATAAAGCAGTATGGCTAATGAAACTGACTTCACTCAGGGCTGGGAAGGTGGCTCAGTGGTAGAGTGTTTGCCTTGCATGCATGAGGCCCTGAGTTCAATTCCTCAGCACCACATAAGCAGAAAAAAAGCCAGAAGTGGTGCTGTGGCTCAAGTTGTAGAGCGCTAGCCTTGAGCTGAAGAGCTGAGGGACAGCGCCCAGGCCCAGAGTTCAGGCCCCACCACTGGCAAAAAAAGAAAAAAGAAACTGACTTCACTCAACAGAAGGCTTACAGAACTACAGGAGAAAGAATTCTCCTGTAAAATAATGTGCTCTGGTCAGCTGAGGGAAGAATGAGTCCGCTGCCACAAATAGATCTTGGGAGGCTTAGGGATTTTTAACAGGTCCTTGGTGCTGTCCCTGTTCCTGTTCACCTTGCAGACCTGAGCCAGAGACTCCTCCCACACTTCTGCGACAGCTGACAATCCTGTGCTCCTCATCAAGCACCTAGGAGAGGATGTAAGCCAGCTCTTCTCACTCCCAGCATAAGAAACTTCATTTTTTTTCTTGTTGTTCTATTTCTCTTCTTCAGGACAAAGAAGATATTTTCTTTGTAGTCTTGAATAAAAAAGAAGGCTCAGGACTGGGATTCAGTGTGGCAGGAGGGACAGAGGTGGAGCCGAAACCAATCATGGTGAGTGACAGTGTCCTGAGGCTCTCTGGAAATCACTCCTTAAAACAGCCACAGGCTTCCACCAGGACACAAACTGCAATTACAGCATTTAGAGACCACTGGGTTCTGTTCCCTGCTCCAACATTCCCTTTTTTCATTGACAACACCTAGCTGATGTGTAGGCCAGAGGCCAATACATAATACAGTTATCTACATCCTTCTAATTTGCCTAAATCTTATATAACCACTGGGGGAAAAAAAACCGTGAGACTCAACGGAGCAAATTCCTATTTGCTTATAAAATTACTTCCTCCTCAAGAACAGTAACGTAAACTGTGCATCACTCAAAGCTACAGAGATCATTGTTGCACCACACCCACTGGACCAGCCTGGCTCCATTGTCTTGTAGTCCTTGTGCCCAGTGGTTACCAGGCATGTATTACATACTAACAAAAAGCTGAATAAAAAATAATAATAAGCTGGGCACCCATGGCCCTGGCCTATAATCCCATCTGCTCTGGAGACTGAGATCTGGAGAATCACAGTTCAGAGATAGCTTGAGTAGAAAACTCTGAGACTTTTAGTTAGTCAGCAACAAACAAAAAAGTGTTGAGTAAAAACAGAAGCAGATACTAGTGTTGACATTTAGATTTTACAAACATACACACTAAATTAAGTACTTGTGTGATTTAGAAAAGGTTCCATGAGGAAGTCTTTACTACAGAGTTAGTTACTCTGATATCACAAAGGTCCTAAGTGGATTTGGCTTTTGTTCCCTTTTCCTTGCTCTGTCTCAGGTCCACAGGGTGTTTTCTCAGGGGGCAGCTTCTCAGGACGGGACCATGAACCGAGGTGATTACCTTCTCTCCATCAATGGCTCCTGGCTGGCTGGTTTAGCCCAGGAAGATGTCTTAAAGGCTCTGCATGAGGCCCAGCTGCACAAATGTGCACTCATGGTCATCAAGAAGGGGAATGAGCAGCCCAGGCCTACCCCCAAGCAGGAGCTGCCTCTGGCCAATGGGAAGGGCACGCTGCCCGGAAAGCATACCATGCTGGATCCTGGAAATGGTAAGGATGCTTATGGCAGAATCCATCCCACGTGGACGTAAAATAATGGCTTAATTCTTGAATCAGAAAATAAATTTAAAAAAAGGAAATCTAGTGGGTTTTTTTAGAGGCTTCTTGAAAAACACAAAGCAAGCATTTTTTTTTAATCCTAGTAAAGCCACGGTTGAAGATTTCAAATGAGGGCTAAGAAGGAAGCGTCTTTCACAGTTGTAGCCTCTTGCTGAGACTTCCTGGCTGCCCAGTAACACAAGGAGCTCTTGTGATAGAAGGATCCACGTTGAAGGAGAATGAGGCTTGTCCTTGGGAGCCTAAGGGTGGTCATCTCTCCTGTTTTTGGAGACATAAGGAATGGAGAGCCAAGGTGTTTGTGTTTTTAATCAGACTGCAGCCTTCATCCATTGAGAAGGGGTTCAGAATCACATTTCCCATGAAGTTTCCACAAAGTTCCACTCCGAGCCAGCCTCTACACACAGCACACTAGTTCCACACAAGTCTGTGGACATCCTGTCAGGGACTCCACTCCAGACTACACAAGTTCAGGCTGGGCAGGGAGGGGGAGAGGGAGGGAGGGAGGGAGGGAGAGTGCTTCCATGGTGGCCCACACTGCAGCTGCTGAGCGCCACAACCCCTCCTTGTCCACATACCTGCACCGTGGCCTGGGTGTCCTTCAGCTCTGCAAGGTCATTTCCTACTTTAAATCACCACACTATCACATTCCCCTGTCCAAACACCACTTCAGCTCCTTGGCGTATCTTTTAATGGAACCTGTCGGAAGTATGCCTGGCAAAGGAATTACTTAGCGTGGATCCCATCAGCTAACAGAGCCTCGAGCTTCTTGATGTCAGATACAGAAGGCTCTCTGAGCCTGGCGCTGGTAGCTCACGCCTATAATCCTCCTCAGGAGGCTGAGTTCTGAGGATCTCGGTTCAAAGCCCAGGCAGAAAAGTCCATGAGACTCTTATCTCCAATAAACCATTAGAAAACCAGAAGTGGCACTGCAGCTCAAGTGGTAGAGTGCTCGCCTTGAGCTGAAGAGCAAACTGACAGTGCCCAAGCCTAGTTCAAGCCCTACCACGGACCAAAAACAAACAGAAGGCTGTCTGTCCTCCGTCATCTGTGATCATAAAGTGGTTCTGTGGTACCTCATATCCCTAAGTACCATGGTAGCTTAGTTTTCACCTATTTCTTTTCTTTAGGGACTCCGGGAGCTCTGAACTTATTCCTTCCCCTACGCGTCAGCACATCTGACTTGCGGCTGACACGGAAGACAGGAACAGGCTTTTTGGTGGTGGTCATGGGGCTTAAACTCTGGGCCTGGGCGCTGTCCCTCAGCTCTTCAGCTCAAGGCTAGCGCTCTACCACTTGAGACACAGCACCACTTCCAGTTTTCTGGTGGTTAATTGGAGGTCAGAGTCTCACGGACTTAATTGCCCAGGCTGGCTTTGAACCAGATCCTCAGATCTCAGCCTTCTGAGTAGCTAGGATTACAGGCGTGAGCCACCAGTGCCCAGCCAGAGGCTTTTTAAAATCCTCCTGCCCAAAGAATTCCCCTGCTCAATTCAACCAGAAACAAAACAGGGATGTCCCTGGGTGCCATGTGGGAGCTGGCGTTAAGAGCGCTGTGCCCGGCATCCTTTAAGCACGTCACCTACTGAACAATCCCGCCACCCTCAGCATTAGGACCACCTGGGCTGGCTTTCTTTAAACCAAGGTAAAGGCCTGGCCTTTATAATCTGAGGCAGGAACGTTGGCTCTGCCCTCAACCTAATGAACAAAGGAAGGGAGCAGTGTTAATTCCTTTATCCTTCCACTGCCTCCTGAGCAACTAAGCGTGCCTTCCCATACCACTCCCCACGCCCTCGGCTTGGCTAGCACTTGGCAAACTTACCATTCCTACCGACTCCAGCCTGGGCTCTCCAAACAAGCACAGCTTGTTCCTTGCCACCATGGTGACGCTTCTCCCCACGAGGGCAGCCAGGCCCTAAGGCTGGGTTTTCCCCTCTCCCAGAAGCACTTGGGGCACAGGGTAAGGAAGGCAGTGCACCAGTTCCAGGAAGCTTCCAGGACAACTGTGAAGTTGGGCACTCTGGTGCCATGGATTTCAGTAACAGATGGTAGCACAGTTGCCATGGCAGCCAGGGTTGGCAGGAAATTGGATTTGATTTCCTGCTGTGACTTTCATCCTCCCTGGGATATGTGTTGCTAGAGGGCTTGACAAGGGCCGCCTGTCTCCTGAGGATTTCCGTCTGGGCCTAGCCACATTCTCCTTACCTCCACGCCCGCAAAGCGCATGGAGTGCAGAGGGTGCCCAGGCAGCTGGAGCACTGCCAGGCGGGCGGCTCCATCCTGGGAGACCAACCGTCATGCTGGCCTCAAAGGCCACAGTAAACACTTCAGGCTGCAAGCAATCTGTGGGGGCTGGAGATACTGCCTCTGGGGGACCTGGGACAGGTGAGCCATGTGCCAGCAGCCTTGTCATTTCCATCTTGAAAGGGAGAAGCGGAGCTGCTCACGACGCTGTGTGTGTGGAGGTGCTGAAGACAGCCGCTGGGCTGGGATTGAGTCTGGACGGAGGAAAATCATCTGTGTCTGGAGATGGGCCGCTGGTCATTAAAAGGGTGTACAGAGGTAAAGTCCCCATAAATTCAGTCAGCTTCCTACTACCTGTCTTCTTTCCACTTGTACCGCCATGAAACATCGATGTTTTCTGTTTGGAAATCAAGCTTTTTAAAATTCTAAAGTGCTTTTAATGCTTCATGACATCGAAGTTTATTCCATGTTAGACCTGCAGTGTTTTGCATTTATCACATAGCCCAAAGCCAGCCCAGACAGAAAAAAGTCTATGGGACTCCATCTCCAAAATAAACAGCAGAAAAAAAGGTTGAAGATGTGGCTTGAGTGGCACAGTGCCAGCTGTGCAAGCAAACTGAAGGCCCCAAGTTCAAGCCCCAGTGCCAAGAAAGAAAAGAAAAATGAAAAAAAAGAAAAAAAAAACCCACCCGCATTGTGGTCAAGCAGTATGATACATCCTAGCTATGGGAGGCAGTCAGGAGGATCACAGGCCAAGGCCAGCCCAAGCAAAGTGTCAGCAACCCTATCTGAAAAATAACGAGTTAAAAAGAGAGTGTGTGTGTTACAGGGCTTGGCTCGGGTGGTAGAGTACCTTGCTAGCAAGCATAGGGAACTGAAGTAAAAGCCACACACTGTCTAGGATGGAGGCATTTAGCAGGTACCAAGCTAAAATAATGCTGCCAGGTTTGCCACTCAGGAACACAATACCAGCCAATCGCTCACAGACCTAAAATACTAGACAGTAAGTAAATGGTAAGATATCACTGAGATGGGGAAATACTTCTTTTTACCATCTTGGGCAATTTTCAAATTCTCTTCAAATTCCTAAGCTGTATTAATGAAACAATTTTAATTAATGATACAATATTAACACATAATTATACTTACAAATAGATCAGAAATCCATATAAAGTTACAGAAATAAACGGTCTGGGGTTGGATGCTTGGCTCAGTTGGTAGAGTACTAGTCATTAAGAGTCAGGTAGCAGGGCTGGGAAGGTAGCTCAGTGGTAGAGTGCTTGCCTTGTGTGCATGAGGCCCTGGGTTCAATTCCTCAGTACCACATAAGTGGAAAAAGCTGGAAGTGGTACTGTGGCTCAAGTGGTAGAGCACTTGCCTTGAGCTGAAGAGCACCCAGGCCCAAAGTGCTGGGACAGCACCCAGGCCCAAAGTTCAGGCACCACAAATGACAAAAAAAAAAAAAAAAGGAAAGGAAAAAAAGAGTCAGGTAGCAATTTTGTATACTTTTGAGTCTAGTCTCATCAAGAACATTTAAAAAAAAAAATTTAAAGCCAGCTGCTGGTAGCTCATGCCTGTTATCCTAGCTACTCAGGAGGCTGAGACCTGAGGATCATGGTTCAAAGCCAGTCTGGGCCGTAAAATCTGTAAAACGCCAATAACCACCAGAAAACCAGAAGTGGTGTTGTGGCTCAAGTGGTAGAGCGCTCACCTTAAGCTGAAGAGCTGAGGGACAGCGCCCAAGTCCAGAGTTCAAGCCCCATGACCAACAAAAAAGAAGTCAGTTCTTAGCCAGGTGCCAGTGGCCCACACCTGTTAATCCTAGCTACTCAGTAGGCTGAGATCTGAGAATTTCAGTTCAAGGCCAGACCAGGGAAGGAAGGTCTGTGACACTATTTCCAATAAACTCAAAAAAAAAAAAAAAAAAAACAGAAATGGAACTGTGGCTCGTGTGGTAGAGCATTACAAGGGTAGAAAGCGCTCAGGGACAGTGCCCAGGCATGTGCACATGCATATACACACACACACAGGTTTTCTTTTTGTGCTAGTCCAGGGGCTTGAACTTTGGGCTTGGGGGCCATCCCTGAGTTTCTTTTGCCCAAAACAAGTGCTCTATCATATAAGCCACAGTACCACTTCCCAGCTTTTTTTAGTAGTTTATGGGAGAACTATGATCTTCAGATCTCAGCCTCCTGAGTAGCTAGGATCACAGGCATGAGCCATCTGAACCACCAGCACCTGGCCAATGATTTTGTTTTTAAAAACAATCAGCTTCTCAGGAGACTGAGACCTAGAGGATCATGAAGCAAGCCTGGGCAGAAAGTCTGCAAGAGTCCATTTCCAATTAACCAACAAAAAGTTAGGCCGGAGGCCTGAGTGGCAGAGTGCCAGCCAAACAAGCCTAGCAAGCATGAGGCCCTGAGTTCAAGTCCAGTATGGGCAAGAGAAAAAAAGTATTTTTGTAATTACACAGAAATTCCAAAGACAGTACACTCCTGGCAAATAGAACATGAGAAAATTTCTCTTTAATATAGTGCCGCTGTGCTGTTTAAAAAGAAAAATCCAGTTCTTGGACTTCTACCATCTTCTTAGAAACTTCTATACTCTGAGCCACGTGAGGGAAGAAGCAATGCACAAATTGGAAGTACAGAAGCAGGAAAGACAAGGCAGAAATCCAAGGCTACTCCTAGTTCTGTGCCAAAACTAGGAGTGCTGAAGTCAGGGGTTCTGGCCTAAGTTGCTGGACTTAGTAGAACTACTCTTAAATTCTGTCACCGGGCTGGGAAGGTGGCTCAGTGGTAGAGTGCTTGCCTTGCATGCTTGAGGCCCTGGGTTCAATTCCTCAGTACCACATAAGCAGAAAAAATTTTAGAAAAGCTGGAAGTGGCGCAGTGGCTCAAGTGGTAGAGCGCTAGCCTTGAGCTGAAGAGCTGAGGGTCAGCGCCCAGGCCCAGGCCCAGAGTTCAGGCCCCACGACCGGACCCAAAAAAAAAAATTCTGTCACCAAGACTACCTTTAAGAGTCCCACCTAGCTCCTCCCAAACCATCCCTGCTGGTCCTCTGCCCTGAACCTGTCCCATTCAATTCCAGTTCAGTTCTCAGTTGTAGCCAGCCATAACATGTGAACAATGAATCATGTCTTTTGTTCTTTTTTTTTTTTAACTTAGGAGACAGATCTGAGAGATGATGGTTAAAGCCAGCTTGGGCAGAAAAGTCTGTGAGATTTTTTTTTTTAATTTTTTTTTTTTGTGAACATACTGTACAGAGGGGTCTTTTGCTGTTTTTGCTGTCTTAACTGAAGAATTTTAAAACATTTTTACAATCAAAAGTGGAAATGAAGCCCCAGTAAGAAGTAAAGCATGCAGTGGAGGCCAGGAGTGCCATGCGCACGCAGAAGGGGCTGCAGCCTCCTGACGTTGTGACACCTGCAAGTAGACATTACATGACGGAAGGGCGTGGAACTTGCTCTGCCGGGAAGGTGGAGTGGAAATAGCTGTTTAAAGCTCTGAGTGGCAACCAAAACAAGCCACGACCACCAGCCCTAAGCCTGTACATTGTATTTCGGGGGCAGGAGCACCCCTGCCTTCGATCTTCTTGAAGGGGAGTGAATCAAATGCATTTAGAAAGATGTCCAATGACATCATTTTCTTACCTTGTAACTCCAACTCACTAATGCCTACAGGTGTCTCTTCATTTTCCTGTGTCTTTTACTATAAACAGAAAACAATACAGCAGTATAGCCTGAGCCTCCTAATATGAAACTTGAAACTTTTAGGGTTTTGAGGCACTTTGGTTTGAATTTCAGAGCTTTTTGTTGTTTTCAATCTCTGGCTTAATCCTTGGACCAGAAATACTGGCTTTTAGGGCAAGGAAGGGGTGCTTACTAGGATTTGAACTCAGTCTCAAGCTTGTTAGGCAAGCACTCTACCCCTGAAGTCACATCTTCAACCTAATGTTATTCTTTTAGTCTGTAAATTAACTCTTTGTTCATATATTGCAAGTATCTTCCCCTGGGTGGTTGGTATTTGTTGTGTAACTACAGGGACACAGTGGAGTATTTCTGTGTAGCCCAACTTGTTTTAATACGTCTGTTTATGCAATCTGTACTTCTCATTTAGATTTCCAGTTTTCTTGGATTTATTCTGTGTAGGAGCCATCCCCTTATTTTGTATTTGATCTCACAGGTGGTGCAGCTGAGAGAGCGGGAACAATTGAAGCTGGAGATGAAATCCTTGCTATTAACGGGAAACCCCTCGTTGGGCTCATGCACTTCGATGCCTGGAATATCATGAAGTCTGTTCCAGAAGGACCTGTGCAATTAGTAATTAGGAAGCACAGGAACTCTTCGTGAATTTCAATGAGCATCTCCTTTCCTCAGTTCTTGTCTTCTAGCAAATCAGAATGACTTCCAAGTGATAGGTTCTTGAAACAACAGACACTGGTAAAGAGGACTGTAACAATCTTCACTTGTACGTACACCTGAAGCCTAACCTATTGTGTCCTGGCAGCAATGAGGCTGAACTCTGAGGACCTCCACCTGGACATCTCAGCTGGTGGTCAGTTTGCTCCAGTGCCAGCCCCTTATATTTGCAGCAGGGACACAAGAGGTGACTTTGCACTTCTTCATCTGAAACACCTAGCTACACACCTTCATATCCCTCTTGGCACCTCTCCCAATATACAGTACTTGGTGAGTAGGAACTGGAGGGGTGACAGAATGTCACAGTTGAAAGACTTATCTAGTTTTATATAATTTTGTAACTAAACGACACAGTGCTTTTAGGCATATTCAATGGAAGAAGAGAGCTGTAGGTCTATATATGTTACCCTGAAAAGAAAATAAGACTTTAAGATAAAATTAATTATGTCCTAATTATTAGGCTGAGCTCAGGAATTATCCCAAAAATAAAAAAGCAAAATTCAGAAAGTATTTTTTAACGAGTATAATGTATAGATGCAGAGTTCAACTCAATCTAAGAAATATTGATCATTTTCTATTTCTATCAGTTTAAGTCATGAGGATGTTTTACAGAATAACCGTTCAATCAACTGTATTAAATAGCTGTGGGCTTTGCTGCTTAGCAGGAGTAGAAGTTCCTTATCTGAAAGCACCTTGCATCTAGTTTTCAAACTTGTCTTAAGTAAATGATTCAATTCCAGACTGATCAACAAAGAGCAAGCAAAATTAGCAAATCACTGGGTTTCCCATGTCTACATGTCATGCACTCCAGCCACTAACTTAAGTTTTTAGAAATTAAGTACCTTAGTGTACTTGGATTTATAAACATAGTCCAGATTGAGGCACTTAAAGGAATCCTCCCAGAGATTTTTGTTGGTTGGGTTGGTTTCCTCCTATTTCCCAACACACGATGAAATGTAGCATTTCTAAGCAATGGGTCTTCATTTGATCCTGTTAAATGGCAGCGCCCTACAGTGATTGAAGTTCTTGCTGTTTTCTTGCTTTGTAAACTCTTCTAAACGTTTTGCCAAAAAGCATCAGCCTGTAAGACAATTGCTGCCGCATGCTGCTTGTGTTAAGTCCCCAGCTGCCATGCGCTGCTGCAAAGCATTCCCATTCGACATGTCATCCCTTGTCACAAAGTTGGCTTTTCTGCCCTCGTACTGTATTTTCTTTTCTCAAATTCCAAAGCCCCTTATCAGCTTCTTTTACCAAAATGTCACCAGGAGGAAAATGGAAAAACAGGGTGAGAAACTGTCAAGGTGGATGAGTGGGTTGTACTGAACCCACATCCTCAGGCAGCGCAGTCCAGCCCGTCAAGTCCTGGGAATACGGACGGAGACTGCACTTGTCATACTTGCGTGCATGACAATATTTTATGTTGGCAACTTCTTTAAACAACCTACTACTGAGCTCATGTAGGTGCCCATGCTGTTGCCTTTGTCATTTTTCTGAGCAATCCCGCCAGCCATCAGGAGTGAGCTCCCTCAGATGGGAATCATTATCTGGCTCATTCTCAAGAGATTATACAAAGGAAAACATAGGACAGGGGTTAGCTAGAAAAATCTGCTTTAGCTTCTACTTTTCATTGCAGTTAGAATAGTATAAGAAGTCAGTGCAAGGTGCATGCTAGATTTTCTTTTTTAAGTCTCTGGGGACAGTGTTATGGTTTCTGCTTTCTTGCCTATATGATAAGAGACTACTTGGAATCAACACTGAAAACTTTTTTTTTTTTTTGCCTCCACTCTTCAAGCTGTGCCTGTTAAGAAACACACAGTCCTATGTAGGGAGAGAGCAATGTGGAGCAATGAAAGGGTTCCTTCTGATAGTCTTTAATCTTCATCTCAAGAACTCAAGGGTGGACCTCTGGCTTACCGCACTGTCTTAAAGTCATCAGCCATTTCTACTAGATCTTGCCAGAAGGATTCTATAATCAACAGTAGGAAGTTAAAGGAAGAAGCAAAAGCTAAACTGTCTGACACTGAGATAGAAAGCTATTTATTTGTCTTCAGCGTTCAAAGCATGACTAGTATTTCTAATTAGTCTAATAAATGCCCACACTTCTTGACTTGAACACTAATGGTATTGTCCTACTAAAATTTTCTTTGTTTTGTTTTTTAAAACTAGTCAGTCATTCACCGTTAAGCTATGAGAGTAAATATGTGTTATAACATGTACATCGTAGTTGCAAGAAAAAACCGTGAAGGCTGAAGTAGATTGGGTTCCCTTTTCATCCTCACACACATCTCATTGCATTGTATGGTTGACTTAATTGGCACATCTGTTGTACAATATTATACATTATCCTTTATTTATGTAAAATAAATGCCTTATATATTAAAGAGTAAGTGCAATAATGAAATAGTCTGTACATTTTTAAGAGGTTGTTGCCAAGTTATGTAAATCCACATCTCTGTAAACAATTTTTTAAGTAATTTTAAAAATAAACACTCCTTACTACTTGGCTTTTTTCACTGTTCTGTATTTATGGAGTAGTATCAAGGCACACACAAAAAAATATGTCCTGTTACCTAATGATTTATAAGGGAGAGGTACAAAGGCAAGAGAACTCAGGATAGCTGTTCTCTTCTACGGCTACGATGTCTCACAGAGACTTTGGTCCCCGTAGTCTATCTTTCCAATATCCAGCCTCTATACACTGATTCCTTAAACAAATCCCACAATTGCCGGGGGCAGGTGGCTCATGCCTATAATCCTAGCCATTCAGGAGGCTGAGAGCTCAGGATTGTGGTACAAAACCATCCCAGACAGAAAAGTCCATTAGATTCATCTCAATTAACCACCAGAAAACTTTGAGCTGTGGCTCAAAGTGGTAGAGTACTTGAGCAAAAAGGCTCAGAGACAGCTTACAGGCCCTGAGTTCAAGCCCCATGACCAAAAAAAAAAAAGGTCGACAATCTCACAGGAAAACATTAAAAAATGCATGGTTTCCAGCTTCACCAGGACCCTCTATGCTCCTCAGCACTGTTTCCTTGTTAATCATTTCTCATTTTTCGTAATAACTACTCTAAGTTTTTCTCAGATATCTACTCTCCTTCCCAGCTCCTAATTAGCACCACAGGTTGCCAACCAGACCTTAAAATATGAGCCTGAAAAAACAAAAATACAGGGGGCTGGAGGCGTACTCAGGTGGTAAGAGTGCCAGCCAATGAGCAAAAGTGTAAAAGTGTCGGTACTGAGTTAAGAGTCCTGGGGGGGGGGGAGTGACAGACAAGATAATTTATGTTAAATCTTATTAAAAGTTAATTAGCTTCTTCCTATAATGTATACACAGATCAAAACATCACATAATACTCCAAAATATATACAAAAATCATGTATCAATTATAGATAAGGCAAACAAGCAAACAAACAGCTTGTTCCTATAAGTTTGTTGGAGGATGCCAGAACTCTAAAAATTGACAAGTAAACTTAAGATATCCTCCTGTCTTGTCTTTTTTTTTTTTTTTTTTTTGGTCGGCCGTGGGGCTTGAACTCTGGGCCTGGGCTCTGTCCCTCAGCTCTTCAGCTCAAGGCGAGCGCTCTACCACTTGAGCTACAGCGCCACTTCCGGTTTTCTGGTGGTTTATTGGAGATATGAGTCTCATGGACTTTCCTGCCCAGGCTGGCTTTGAACCGAGATCCTCAGATCTCAGCCTCCTGAGGTAGCTAGGATTACAGGCGTGAGCCACCAGCGCCCAGCTTTCCTCCTACCTTTTTTGTATGAACTATACTCCCAGGCAATGTAGATATAATAGAATTTCTTTTTATAAACTATTCTAATAAAAAAGAAATGATAAGAAACTCACACTTGGGGCTGGGAAGGTGGCTCAGTGGTAGAGCGCTTGCCTTCCATGACTGAGTCCCTGGGTTTGATTCCTCAGCACTACATAAGCAAAAAGAAAAAAGCCGGAAGTGGCGCTGTGGCTCAAGTGGTTGAGTGCTAGCCTTGAGCTGAAGAGCTGAGGGACAGCGCCCAGGCCCAGAGTTCAGACCCCGCCAGGACCCAAAAAAAAAAAAAAAACACTCTGCAACCTCAAAAAATCATAGCATTTGAGATTTCAATAGCAAGGCAACTAACATCACAAAAGGAGAGAGAGGCAGTCTATGCTTCCTAATGGAAGCACACACTACCTCTTAGTAGTACGGCCTGCGCACAGAAACCTGGTTCTAAGCTTCTAGAGCAACTACCAATACTTGGGAAATAAACATCAAAAAAAAGCAAGTGTAATTACAGCATACAAATTAAATTTTGGAAAACTCCAAGGACTGAGGTCCAATTGCATCAACTTTACATACCTTGAGTATTTCCCAAGGGAAAAATAATATAAAGATTTGGGGGAAAACCTAGATTAAAAGAAATTGAAAAGATTAACCAGGCACTGGTCTGGTGGCTCACCCCTGAAATCCTTAGAAGGATTTCAGCCTCCTTACTTAGGAGGCTAAGATCTGAGGATCACGGTTCAAAGCCAGACTTTAATCTTCAAGAAACCACCAGAAAACCAGAAGTGGCACTGTGGCTCAAGTGGTAGAGTGCTAGCCTTGAGCTGAAGAGCTGAGGGACAGCGCCCAGGCCCAGAGTTCAAGCCTCATGACCAACAAAAAAAAAAAAGAAGAAGAAGAAATTTAAAAGATCTATCAACTTGCTAAGCATCTGGCTCATGCCTATAATCCCAGCTGTTCAAGAAGTGGAGACAGGAAGATTACACACAAGGCCAACCTAAGAAAAAGATAGCAAGACCCTGTCTCAAAAACAAGCTGGGCGTGGTGGTGCACTGGGTAATCAGGACCCCAGAGTTCAAAGCCAGACAGCCAGGGCAGAAGTTGTCAAGAGACTTTATCTGAAAAAAACAAGTTAAAAACACAGAAATTGAAATCTGTGGCACAAGTAGTAGAGTACTTGACTAACAAGCACAAGGCAAAAGAAAACTGTTAATGATAGGTCAGGACAAGTATTTTAGAGGTTAGGAAGACTATAACTGGGAGGAAGATTCAAATAGTTTCTGGATGCCAGTCAAGGTTCTAACTCGATCACATGTGTAATGGCTGTAGGCATATTTGTCTTAAAATAACTCATTAAGTTATCATTTCCCACCACCCCTAGTACTGAGACTTCGACCTCAAGCTTGTTCACCTTGCTTGCTCATGAATGGTCTCTACCACTTGAGTCATGCTTCCAAGTCTGGCTTTTTGCTTCGTAGTTAGAGATACAGAGTCTATGGTCTTTTCAGTAATGCTCCAGGTCGTTGCCTAAGTAGCTGTTAGTCAAGAGCAGTCAACACATGACTCTAATCTACACTATGGTTTTTCACTTGTACTTCAATCATAGTTGTATACAGATATGTTCATAACCTATACATTCCATTTTTCCATTTTCCCCAACTTTATAGATATTTCAACTCTAACCACGAGGCCCATCTCTTTAGTAGGACAATTAAGATCTCTACCAATTCCATATTTAAGCACCATGTTACACTTCTGATTACGAAAGAAAGCATAAGAAAAACTTACCACATGCCACCTCCAAAGACACAAACACAGGGCCAAGTCCTGCTGAAACATATAAAAACCAATGCCATTAACAAAAAATGGATAAAGAACATAAAGAACAGTAACAAATTATCAATAAATATACTAAACATAATCAAGCTCTTCACAGTTAAAACTTCATAATTATCCCTTATTGAAGATACTCTCTTCAATACTGCCTAGGGATAGAGGCCAACATTCATGTTGCTGATGAGAGAATAAGTCAATATGAATTTTAGAAATCAATTTGACTTTGTCTTTTATATATGCAAAGTATGTTTTTTAGGCAACTATGTTTCTATTCTTCCTATAGAGGGAGAGGGGGAGGGGGAGGGAAAGAGAGGGAGAGAGAGAAAGAGAGAGGGAGAGGGAGAGAGAGAAACCCGAGCACAAGTGGCTCACACCTATAATTCTAACTACTCAGGAAGCTGAGATCTTAAGATGGCAGTACAAAGCCAGGCTGGGCAGGAATGGCTGTGAAACTCTTCTATCCAATTAAGTATCCAAAAAGCCAGAAGGGGAGCAGTAGCTTAAGTGGTGCAACACCAGCCTTGAGCAAAAAGCTTAGGGATAATGCCCAGGCCCTGAGTTCAAGCCCTAGGGCCACCCCCCCCCTTATAGACAACATGTATAAAAACATGTTTTACTGTTTGTCATAGTCCAAATGTTCATTTTGGGAAATCTTAAGCTATACAATGAAGCCATTTAAAAGAATAAAACTGAGCCAGGCACTAGTGGCTCACCCCTGTAATCCTAGTTACTCAGGAGGTTGAAATCTGAGGATCACAGTTCAAAGCCATCTGGATAGGAAAGTTCAAGATTCTTATCTCTAACTAACCACTGGAAAGCCAGAAGTGGACCTGTGGCTCAAGTGGTACAGCACTAGCTTTCAGCAAAAGAGCTCAGGGGCAGTGCCTAGGCTCTAAATTCAAGTCCCACAGCTGACCAAAAATTGAATATAGATAAATAAACAAATCTCTCTACAACTTAACTGCAAAACACAAATGTCATGTCAGTGATATTAGAAACAGTCACATTATGTCAACATTCTATTAGGAGTAAATACATATAGGATTCTAACAATGGCTAAGAAGGTGTGCACAATGAAAATAAGTTACCACTCATACCCCTTTGAAAAGATAGTACACATGGTTAGTACCCATATTTTGTGGTACTACTAGTGAATAGATGGCAGCTATACAGAACTTACCCAAGGCAGGAGCATAATTCTGGGACTCGATGGGCCAAGTTTGTTGACTATCTTGATATGGATGAAACGCAGCATATTAATTGACAATATAGATTAATACAAAATGGAGAGGCCATCGAGGCAGAACCTGAATGAACTTCATAAAGATCTAACATATGCCAGAAGGCTGAGATCTATCTGGCCAGAAAGTCCATGAGATTCCTATCTCCAATTAACTACCAGAAAACCAAAGTGGTAGAGCACTAGCCTTGAGCAAAAAAGCTCTGGGATTGCTCCCAGGCACTGAATTCAATCCCCATAAACAACCAAAAAAAAAAAACAAATCTTACACAAAAGGGCAGTGTCCATGCTGTTGGAATAAGAGTAGCCGTGCTTGGCAGTTAATGGACTTGTGTCACTATCAGGAGAGGTGTCACCACTGACCCTGTATTGTCACTTAAAAGGTCAGGACACTAGCCCTTCTTCTTTTGAGTAGTGACCAACTCCAAGGGTTTACTATCTTATATAGATTATTTGTACCCATCTTTCTACAATAATGAAATGAGTTACAGAAGCCGAGTACCAGTGGCTCAAGCCTGTAATCCTACTTAGGAGGCTGAAATCTGAGGATCACAGTTCAAAGCCAGCCCAGGTATGAATGTCCATGAGACTCTTACCTATAATTAATCACCAGAAAACTGGAAGTGGCGCTGTAGCTCAAGTGGTAGAGCGCTAGTCTTGAGCTGAAGAGTGCAGGGACAGTGCCCAGGCCCAAGTTCAAGCCCCAGGACCAACAAAAAAAAAAAAAAAAAAGAGAGAGAGAGATACAGAGAATAGTCAGAAGTCACTAGTCAATCTGGCCTCTGTAGGCCAGTGGTGTTTTCTGATATGAGTGGTTCTTTCCTCTAAAACACATATATTAGTCAAGTTTTCATATTCCAAATTATTTATTCAGGGGCTGGGAAGGTGGCTCAGTGGTAGAGTGCTTGCCTTGCAGGCATGAGGCCCTGGGTTCGATTCCTCAACACCACATAAGCAGAAAAAGCCAGTAGTGGAGCTGTGGCTCAAGTGGTGAGCGCTAGCCTTGAGCTGAAGAGCTGAGGGACAGCCCCCAGGCCCAGAGTTCAGGCCCCACAACTGACCAAAAAAAAAAAAAAATTAATTTATTCAAGTTATCCTGATAGCTTTACTTGCACCACCAAAGAGTTTTTACATTCTTGCTCTTCTGGTTCTACTTTTCCTGGACAAAAGAAGCCTCTTCCTAGTGCCCATTTAAAAAAACTCTGTAGCTGGAGAGCATCTAAGTAGCTTGAGCAGCTACTAAATAATGTGAGACTGAACAATCACCCTAGGCTTTTTCTTCATTAAATGAAGATTACTAACTAGAGTTCAAAATGAGATATATATTTAAATTTAAAAAAAAAAATTCACCAGGCCCAAAGTATACACTTAGATTTAGTAAGCTCGAGTATTGCACTAGATCAGGTTGCTTTCAGGAATACTGGTAAATTCAATATATTAAGCTGCCAAAAAGAAATTCTCTGCACAGATTAACTCACCCCTCATACAAATCCACTGCCTGATTGCTGGGTTTGATGGCTTTTAACCAAAATGCCATTAAGCAGTGGAATTACTGCTTATTTCCATGGACACAATCACTCCTGCTTTAAAGAGAATAATAAACAGCCTTTGTGTGAAAATGAGTCCTAAATAACTACCACCCCTCCAAAATATACTATTATTCCTCCCCTCAAAATGGAGAAGTATGTCCTGAATCAGGACCACAGGCAAGCAGTGCCAGTGTGTACTGTGTTATATGAAACACACGTGAAGAAGTATGGGCCAGGCTCTTGTCCCTCAACCCTTGCTCAAAAATACTGATCTGGCTGTCAAAGTGAATAACTTAGAAACATCCATTACTTGGCTTCTTAAACCTTTTCCGAAGAAAAACAAACCATTTCCACCTGCAAAGAAATTTTATTATACCAGTACCTGTTTCCAGTATTCATCTCATGTGAAGAAATTTTACATTAATAGTTTCTATACTACATTACCAGAGAGAAAAAGGAGGTTGTTCTAATGGACAGAAAAATCTCTTTCCCCATGCACTACCTACAGAGGCTAGTCCATGGCCAGCTGCCTGTTTCTGTAAAGTTTTATTGCAACATAGCCTCACTCTTTATCGTTATTGTCAATGATAGCTTTAATTCAGTAGAGGGAGTAGAGCAGTTGCCAACACCATATGTGGTTCACAAAACCTAAAATACTATTCTGATTCTAAGAAAAAGTTTGCTGAGCCTTGCACTGAAATATTATAATGTTAGACAAAGTAAAATTTCATCTGAAAGTAACTGACAACACAAAAATACGAATGACAGGCTGGCTGTGATTCAGGCACTTTCAAGATCATAGTTTATTTATTACTTCAGATAAAAAGATAGTATACATATTAGAGAATCCCTTAAATTCAATTCTAGAGTTATACACCATCTAGTTCTTTTGCAGTGAATGTTAACCAAAAATTTCTAAACACCTGAAAGCCCCACTATTAACATGAACTATGGTAATAAAAAAATTTGACTTTTAATTTGTTCAATGTATAGTATTTACATTACGAAACCAATGGTGGTACAATAGCAGTGATAAAGAAATCATAAAAATAAACTTTAAAAAGCAAAGGTTTATAGCCTTACAATGTGCTAATTATAACTGCATATAAAAAATTAAAACGGCAGAGCTTTCTATTACAAAATTCTTAATCGTCTGAGTTTGTAGTCATTACTTGCTACCAATTTACATGCAACATCTGCTAGGACTGACATTTGATTTTTTTTCCTCCAAGAAAGCATGAGTAGACAAATGATATTTCAGAGCAGACATTAATTTACTTCTGGGCAGAAAAAGAAAAAATTGTACTCAAGATTAGTACTGGTCACAGGCCTCTTCCCTACAGAAATGAAAAGAACAGTTAAGACCAAAAAATTTTTTTAAAAATTAAAAATCCAAAAAAGAGATGCATAGGCAAAAAGTACCATGAATGGCACAGCTCAAAAACTCCTAGAACCGGTCAGGCAGACACCTTTTTCTCTCTCCTTCAATGAGAGGACTATTCTTGCCATCAAGTAATAATGACCAAAGTGAGGGGCACCAGGTGTAAAACTAATTAAATCTTGCAAAACACTAAGATGGGGACTGGGTGGCCAGAAGGGGCAATTTATATATAATTCAAACTATATACAGTGTAAGTGGAATGCAGCCCATCCCAAACTGGCTCTGTGAAACAATTGGACCTTTATGATTTAATAGTTAAAATTATAACAGGTGTAATAATACAAGAGATTTACATGGGAAGCAAAATCCAAGGGGCATTTTATATTAAGTATCTACTGTGCTGTTTCAATTTAAAAATAATTTTGCTAAGTATACATCTCAACTGAGGTCTATGTATAAAAAATGTCCTAATAGATACAGATATTTACCTTTGGTGAGTTGAAGGCCTTGTTGTGACTTCTGTCTGAACTGCAGGCAGAATGCCAGAGAGATGCTCATGCACATGTGGGAAAACTCACGCTGAGGTAATCCAAAAGCTGTGCATGCGAGGTGACTGGAGGTACTTTGAAAGTCAAAGTATCCAGAAACCCGGAACAGGTAACAGTGAGAATGGCAACAGGGAATGGGATGCCAATATGGCAGTACATTTGTTAAAAACAGAAAGAGGAAGGCCTCTCGTACCAGCAGAATCCTCCATACATACAAAAAGGAAATAGCCACCCACTATCTCTTAAAACAAAAGCCAATTATAGTGTGGGAAAAGTACAAACTGCAGAAAACCAGAAGTCAATAGAAGAAAAACTACTGGTTTACATGAGAAAGGAAACACTTCATTCTAACAGAGTTACTTGGTGAAGGCTGCCACCACTGCCCACAGAACCTCATTGGTGTTGGCCTTCAGACATTCCACTTCTGGGTCTAAGTCGAGAAGCTGCCGTACTCTCTTGGTGGCTAAATCATACTGCTCGTCCAGAAGAGGAGCAAAAGCATTCTCCAGAACATCTGAGGCATGGGCTAGGTAAATGAGGGCCAGCAAGCGCTTGTCCATGCGGTGAGGGTCATTCACCCACTTGTCAAGAACAGCTTCTTGTACCTTCTTGATGAGACGCTGCTTAATATTGTTATTGGTGAGAGGATGTGTCGTCATGTCAAATAGTAGGAAGTTCTGTTTCTCTGTTGTCAGTACACCCTTTTCTACCAGGTTTTTAGCTAATCGTTCCCGTACATTTCTTAACTGATAATGCAGTTTTAATGGATTCCACGTCTCACCTAAATGAAAGATTTCAAAGTTAGAAATGATGAGTATTACTTCCTAATTTACCAAAGTTTTGTTCTGGGAAGGTGGCTCAGTGGTAGAGGCTTGCCTTGCATGCATGAGGCCCTGGGTTCAATTCCTCAGCACCACACAAGCAGAAAAAGCTGGAAGTGGCACTATGATTCAAGTGGTAGAGCACTAGC